TTGTTAAAATTTATAAATTCAAAATGGCGACTTCCAAATAATTTTTTGTTTTTGTATAAATGACGATAACTCCGTTGTTATCAGCACAAAACTATTACTGCGACATATCATCTGTGAAAAAACAAAAGTTATTCGTAACTAAGTCATAGTGAGCTATGACCTACATTTGAAAAACTAAATTTGGTGCTGATATCTCAAATTCTAGAAGAGTTGGTATAAATTTCATATTTTTTTCGAAATCACTTTGAAAAACTGCCATGAGAATGTGAAATTCCTATTTGAATATTTTCATAAATAAAGAAGTTACGGTAGAGACATGAAAACGATCAAAATTTGTTTTTTGCGTATAAAACAAAAACGAATAGATTTTATCACGATATTTTTTCACATTATAGTTGGCCTTGACAAACTCCACATTTGGTGTCATTTAACCGACCTCTCACCGTTAAAAAGATACCCATACCTTCATGCTTCTTCTCCAAACCTTCTTCAATACAAATTGTCACTGACAAGCTAGTGGATTTTTCTTTTAGGTTCTCTGACAGGAAAATTCTTCAAACGCAGTGACATTTTTGGGCAAATCATCTGATTTGTTCTTACTACACGTATCTTGAAATAATATTCATATCTACATTTTATAGAAACGGAATGAGAAAAGCCCAAAAAAACTGAAATAATGAATGTACTACCTACTTGATAAACCTACAGACAATACTTTGTGAAGTTCTTTACACAAATCTCATTGTTATGATTTGCATGCTTGTCTTGCTAGAGCACTATAGAGAGCAGATATTAATTTTCCAAAGTTGGCTAGGTTCAAAGTTGAGGAAGCCAAACCATCCCGATAGCAGTGGCTATAATAGTGGAACAAATTAACATTGATATATAAGTACGTTCTAGCTGGAACGATTAGAATCAGCAGACTCGGATGTGTACAGAGAACAATCAACAGAGATGCTCGTTAGAAAGTTGGTAGGATAAGTGGGAGATATCCACCGTGCCAGAGCTTCCAATTTGCTTCAGCATCTGAGCTTGATTGAAATTAAGGAAGCAATTTTCCGTTTGCGGTATTCATTGCGAAATATCTGAAATTGTGACATAACTTGCAAATTTACAGGAGATAAATGTTGAAAATCAACGTACTTACTAGATTTTGAATTGATTCGGTCGTTACTTGATGAAAATCCACTGTACATGTAGAAAACTCTACTAACGATAAGATTTCCACAATAGTTATTTATGTACCAAGTGTGTACAGGGTGTTTCATAAGTGAATGTCAATATTTGGGGAGGCGATTCTTGGGCCCATTCTAAGAAAGTTTTATATAAACGTATGACCTAAAAGTCCCAACTTTCGAGAAACAGGGTGATGAAGTCACAGCCTGGGGAACAAACAACCTAGTTGAATTCAACGCCACCAAAACTCAAGCCTGTATTTTCTCTAGAAAGGCGGAACTCAGTATGCCCGATATTGTAATGTCTGGCACCACCATCCTTACCAAGCCAACCATATCTATGCTCGGTATTTCCATCAGCAACACTCTTTCATGGGATAATCATAATCATGTCAGATCCATCGCAAAAGCTGCTTCACAAAAACTCGGATTCTTGTTCCGTGCGAAAAGCTATTTTACACCTCAACAGCTTCTCATGATCTACAAAGCGCAGATACGGTCTGTTCTAGAATACTGTTCCCACATATGGGGTTCAGCACCAAAACATACGCTGATGCTCTTAGATTCCATCCAGAGAAGAGCCATTCGCCTGGTGGGTGACGCCACACTCACTCACTCTTTGACATCATTGGAACACCGTAGAAAGGTCGGCGACCTTTCACTTTTCTATCGATACTTCCACGGGAAATATTCTTCGGAAATCTCTGCTATCATCCCTTCACTAGCAATACCAATCAGACGAACTAGACAAGCCCAGTCAGCACATCCTTTCGTTGTCAACCTCGAAAGATGTCGAACAGCACTTTATCAAGACTCCTTCATCCATAGAACGGCTAAGCTCTGGAATTCATTGCCTGTGGAAGTATTCCCAACAACATATAATCTCCAAAAGTTCAAAATACACTCCAACACCTACCTCCTGTCCCTATCCTCCCTAGGAGCGCACAATGTTCTTTGAACATTATAGGGATTCCCTTTCGTGCGCTCCAAGCGATAAAAAAAAATACTCTCAATAGAATTGATGAAAATAAGATATGCATATTATGCAGGAAAGAATAAGAAGAAAATCATTTTAGATGAACCCGCTTTTTCGGGAGTACACTGGTTCATTCACTCTATTCATCGTTTTACTTTTGTGAAATTCTAAATTTCTACCCTCATTATGTATTCTGATATCGAAACTTCATCGCCGCACACATTGCTGAATTTCCGGCGAATTCAAGCAACCATAGCATACATTATTGAATTGCGTATCCCGTCTACATCGTATCTAATTTTCGTTCTGCGAGAGACTTGCAGCCAGTCCATTAAGGCACACCAATGAAAAATATATTTCAATATCGCCTCTTCCTTGTGGAATATTCATCGAAAAAAGCGAAATCCAGAACCGCTTTCGTCACTGAGGGCTGATAATCCATTAAAATATTCCGTGTGTACGTATTTCACAACTGAGCCAATTGGGTAAATGCAAATTCTGATGATGATTATCTTCTGGATGCAAATTCATTAGAGTTATAAGTCGTTGAATGTTCTGATATGAAATCGAATATCGTCAAATGAATGCATGTGTAGTTGAATAGAACATTTTAATTGTGTTGGCGATACATAAAAAATTTTTTCTGCAACCGACACAAAATTCGTCCATTTTGATACCAAAATTAGCTCTTAAATTGACGTTTCTATTACTGACACCAAAATAGGTATGTTGCTAGGCAACATATTTAGTTCCTAGGAGCTAAAATTGAATTTTAGTTCCTAGGAGCTAAAGTTGAACTTTAGCTCCTAAGAACTAAAAAGGAACTACTGGACGTCATCAAGAATAAACAACATTGTGACGGTTGGTTATTTGGGTTGAGACGCATACCTGATTTGTTTCCGATTTCAGCAGATTTGGCATTTCATACCCATGCTGGAGATATAAATACACCTTATCATAGTTTAGTATTGGAATTATAAACATCTCAGTTAAGTATTTTTGTTTTGATCAGGAAAGCCTTCATTCGTTATTCTCGGGATGGATAACTTGTTTTTGAATAATCACGGCAAGCAATAGTTTTTTGTCTCAAACAACGATATTGTTTAGCTTTATTTGATTATCAAGTCAAACACAAAGTAGTATGGAGAGGCCTAAATAATCACTATTATGATTGTTGATATGCTCACTAACCTAACATTTTGCACGTCTTGTTCCTATAGCTGGCACTGGCGCGGTATTTGCCTTTAGAGCACCTGGTCCATGCACAAATATGTCACTCTGTGGTTGTATTTATATTGAAACTACAATTTGAACATCCTAGAAAACCTAACCTGCTGTTAATGCAGGTAGAATATTCTCACCACATGGATTATTTGCCAATATTTGTTGCATTGCATACATATGGCACGGCATTGGTGGTTACTTCACATGTTTATTTGAGTTGATTGTTTCGGTTGCAGAAAAAATAGCATGTTTCATTCGGATCAAAAATGACTTTGTTCGACTCGCAACAAAGTGTCACTTTTGATCCTAATAAAACAATCTACTATTGGTGGTACTTCATTTATGTTGGCGAATATTCAACATTTTGGTGGAGGAACATATCAATTTTGGTGGTAGCGAAACATTTCAATTTTGTTCGCAAATGAGAACTTGTCGTGAATTTAAAAACACACAGACACTCCGTACCCTTTATATGTCATATGTCAATAGTGTTCTGAGTTATGGTTCATTAATATGGAACCCTGGTTACGATATGTATATAAACAAACTTGAACGGATACAGAATATATTCATTGATTACGTCAATAAAAAATGCTTTCCATCCAACCCCAGCAACCGTAACTATGTTCGAAATGAGCTGAACTTTTTATCACTAGCGCATAGAAGGAACATTTCAGACGTGAAATTTCTTTATAAAATCATAAATAATTTAGTTGATTCGCTTGCTATCCTCAGTAATATTTACCTTACAGCTCCTACTTATATTACAAGGAATCATCACATTTTTCGTTACGAACAATCTCAAACAAAATATTTTTTGAACTCTCCAATGCATAGATGCAAAATATTATACAACGCTCTGTCGAATTCTATCGATATTGATATTTTCTCTTACTCACTTTCCAAATTTTCTTACATTTTGAAAAAACATTTCCTGGCTTCACCTACTTGATTTTGATATATTTTAACGTTTTAATATGTACTGAATAAAATTAATTCACCCTTGTTTGTATCAACACATCAACACACTACAATCACTACATATTGTACCTATACTCAATCATTTATAATTACTCCAATTATTGATTTTCATCAACTTTGTAATTGATATTCGATTTGTTTAGTTTTAATATATCTATATGATGAGATATGACATATCTGTGAATACTGCTTTTGGGTTAGTCCCGTTTGTATTCCTATTCGTAAATAAATAAATGAATAAATAAAACATTCCAAATTTCGGTTGCGAATCATTTTAATTTTGTTGGCGAAACATTTGGAATTTTGGAATCAAAAAATCAAAAATATCAAAATGTGCCATTGAATAATTAACACCCCATATGAGATTTTGCGTTAAAATTTCGTATAGGGGTATTTCAGCTATGCCTGGATCGAATAGGCTAGTCACTGTTTCTAAAAAAGCCTAATAGTCGTTTTTGAAATTTTGACCCCTTCAACAATCAAAATTAGGCTTTGAGGGTGTTGCGGGTTGAGATCGCACAAAATGTATAAGCGTTTCGAGATTGAAAGGCATAATTTCAATGTGTGCTTCTTTGGAATGAAGTTGTGTGCATGAAAATACAATATTTTCCTAAAAATCGTAGATAATGAAACTGATAACTCACCATTTGGAGGGAATTCATAGAAGTATGCTGATCTTGGGCTGAGACATCTGAAATGAAGAAAATCAGTGTTATGAAACTTGGTAAAAGCAATGTCATTATTTCTTGTGCGTTTAAATAATTATTGCATATCATTTCGAAACGTTATAGTTACAAATAATATTTTTTCTACAACTGTCAAAAAAGAGGGCAACCTCATTCAACTTATGATATAAATGATTAAACGATATTTCGCAATTATTATCGAGTACAATTACTCATTTCATGTCACTTTATTGATAAAACCTGGTTTCTGAGGAAGAAATGGCTAGAGCTAATTTATACGAAAGCGCTGAACGGATATGATAATTTTTTTTATACCGGGTGACCCGGAACCAATTTACCCCCCTGTATCTTCGTTGTTATTTTGTATGGATGTTTCAAATTCGGTACTTTGATTTGATGTTATGAATGTACAATTTAGCAAGTATCAATCCAAATATGTCACTTCCGGTTTGACCGGAAGCGCATCCAATTTTTATATTTCGAATAGGAAGAATTTTTTTTTTTGAAAATTACAATTCGGTATAGAATAACCTTTACAATGACATATTACAATCATACTTTCAATTCACAATCTGCTGGTATAATTGGCATTTTATAAAAAAAAAATACTTTTTGTGTTCCCCTCGTAACGGAACATTTTCATGAAAGTATGCTGTGGAAGATTGAATTATTGTTGCTTACATGAAATTGTTCAATCTTTTTCAATTTTTGCGATTTTTGGAATTTTCAGTCATTTTTGCGATTTTTGCAATTTTCAGGAATTTTTGCGATTTTTGCAATTTTCAGTAATTTTTGCGATTTTTGCAGTTTTCAGGAATTTTTGCGTTTTTTGCAATTTTCAGGCACTTTTGCGATTTTTACAATTTTCAGGAATTTTTGCGATATTTGCAATTTTCAGGAATTTTTGCGATTTTTGCAATTTTCAGGAATTTTTGCGATTTTTGAAATTTCCAGTCATTTTTGCAATTTTTGCAATTTTCAGGAATTTTTGCGATTTTTGAAATTTTCAGGAATTTTTGCGATTTTTGCAATTTTCAGGCACTTTTGCGATTTTTGCAATTTTCAGGCATTTTTGCGATTTTTGCAATTTTTGCAATTTCTGCAATTTTTGCAATTTTCATGCATTTTTGCAATTTTCATGCATTTTTGCAATTTTCATGCATTTTTGCTATATTCAGGAATTTTTGCGATTTTTGCAATATTCAGTCATTTTTACGATTTTTGCAATTTTCAGGAATTTTTGCGATTTTTGCAATTTTCAGTCATTTTTACGATTTTTGTGATTTTCAGGAATTTTTGCGATTTTTGAAATTTTCAGTCATTTTTGCGATTTTTGCAATTTTCAGGAATTTTTGCGATTTCTGCAATTTTCAGGAATTTTTGTGATTTTTGCAATTTTCAGGAATTTTTGCGATTTTTGAAATTTTCAGTCATTTTTGCGATTTTTGCAATTTTCAGAAATTTTTACGATTTCTGCAATTTTCAGGAATTTTTGGGATTTTTGCAATTTTCAGGAATTTTTGGGATTTTTGCAATTTTCAGGAATTTTTGCGATTTTAGCAATTTTCAGTCATTTTCGCGATTTTTGAAATTTTCAGTCATTTTTACGATTTTTGCAATTTTCAGGAATTTTTGCGATTTTTGAAATTTTCAGTCATTTTTGCGATTTTTGCAATTTTCAGGAATTTTTGCGATTTCTGCAATTTTCAGGAATTTTTGTGATTTTTGCAATTTTCAGGAATTTTTGCGATTTTTGAAATTTTCAGTCATTTTTGCGATTTTTGCAATTTTCAGAAATTTTTACGATTTCTGCAATTTTCAGGAATTTTTGGGATTTTTGCAATTTTCAGGAATTTTTGCGATTTTAGCAATTTTCAGTCATTTTCGCGATTTTTGAAATTTTCAGTCATTTTTGCGATTTTTGCGATTTTCAGGAATTTTTGTGATTTTTGCAATTTTCAGGAATTTTTGCGATTTTTGCAATTTTCTGGAATTTTTGCGATTTCTGCAATTTTCAGGAATTTTTGCGATTTCTGCAATTTTCAGGAATTTTTGCGATTTTTGCAATTTTCAGGAATTTTTGCGATTTTTGCAATTTTCAGGAATTTTTGCGATTTCTGCAATTTTCAGGAATTTTTGCGATTTTTGCAATTTTCAGGAATTTTTGCGATTTTTGCAATTTTCAGTCATTATTGGAATTTTTGAAATTTTCAGTCTTTTTTGCGATTTTTGCAATTTTCAGGCACTTTCGCGATTTGTGCAAATTTCAGGAATTTTTGTGATTTTTGCAATTTTCAGGAATTTTTGCGATTTTTGCAATTTTCTGGAATTTTTGCGATTTCTGCAATTTTCAGGAATTTTCGCAATTTTCAGGAATTTTTGCGATTTTTACAATTTTCAGGAATATTTGCGATTTTTGAAATTTTCAGGAATTTTTGCGATTTTTGCAATTTTCAGGAATTTTTGCGATTTTTGAAATTTTCAGTCATTTTTGCAATTTTTGCATTTTTCAGGATTTTTTGCGATTTTTGAAATTTTCAGTAATTTTTGCGATTTTTGCAATTTTCAGGCATTTTTGCGATTTTTGCGATTTCTGCAATCTTTGCAATTTTCATGCATTTTTGCAATTTTCATGCATTATTGCAATTTTCAGGAATTTTTGCGATTTTTGCAATTTCCAGTCATTTTTACGATTTTTGCAATTTTCAGGAATTTTTGCGATTTTTGCAATTTTCATTCATTTTTACGATTTTTGCAATTTTCAGGAATTTTTGCGATTTTTGCAATTTTCGCGCACTTTTGCGATTTTTGCAATTTTCAGAAATTTTTGCGATTTTTGCAATTTTCAGTCATTTATGCGATTTTTGAAATATTCAGTCATTTTTGCGATTTTTGCAATTTTCAGGAATTTTTGCGATTTTTGCAATTTTCAGGAATTTTTGCGATGTCTGCAATTTTCAGGAATTTTTGCGATTTTTGAAATTTTCAGCCATTTTTGCATTTTTCAGGAATTTTTGCGATTTTTGAAATTTTCAGTAATTTTTGCGATTTTTGCAATTTTCAGGCACTTTTGCGATTTTTGCAATTTTCAGGCATTTTTGCGTTTTTTGCAATTTCTGCAATCTTTGCAATTTTCATGCATTTTTGCAATTTTCATGCATTATTGCAATTTTCAGGAATTTTTGCGATTTTTGCAATTTCCAGTCATTTTTACGATTTTTGCAATTTTCAGGAATTTTTGCGATTTTTGCAATTTTCATTCATTTTTACGATTTTTGCAATTTTCAGGAATTTTTGCGATTTTTGCAATTTTCATTCATTTTTACGATTTTTGCATTTTTCAGGAATTTTTGCGATTTTTGCAATTTTCAGGAATTTATGCGATTTTTGCAATTTTTAGTCATTTTTGCGATTTTTGAAATTTTCAGTCATTTTTGCGATTTTTGCAAATTTCAGAAATTTTTGCGATTTTTGCAATTTTCAGTCATTTATGCGATTTATGAAATTTTCAGTCATTTTTGCGATTTTTGCAATTTTCAAGAATTTTTGCGATTTTTGCAATTTTCAGGAATTTTTGCGATTTTTGAAATTTTCAGGAATTTTTGCGATTTTTGCAATTTTCAGGCACTTTTGCGATTTTTGCAATTTTCAGGCATTTTTGCGATTTTTGCAATTTCTGCAATTTTTGCAATTTTCATGCATTTTTGCAATTTTCATGCATTTTTGCAATTTTCAGGAATTTTTGCGATTTTTGCAATTTTCAGTCATTTTTACGATTTTTGCAATTTTCAGGAATTTTTGCGATTTTTGCAATTTTCAGTCATTCTCACGATTATTGCAATTTTCAGGAATTTTTGCGATTTTTGAAATTTTCAGTCATTTTTGCGATTTTTGCAATTTTCAGGAATTTTTGCGATTTTTGCAATTTTCAGGCATTTTTGCGATTTTTGGAATTTTCAGTCATTTTTGCGATTTTTGCAATTTTCAGGAATTTTTACGATTTTTGCAATTTTCAGGAATTTTTGCGATTTTTGCAATTTTCAGGAATTTTTGCGATTTTTGCAATTTTCAGGAATTTTTGCGATTTTTGCAATTTTCAGTCATTTTTGCGATTTTTGAAATTTTCAGTCATTTTTGCGATTTTTGCAATTTTCAGAAATTTTTGCGATTTTTGCAATTTTCAGTCATTTATGCGATTTTTGAAATTTTCAGTCATTTTTGCGATTTTTGCAATTTTCAGGAATTTTTGCGATTTTTGCAATTTTCAGGAATTTTTGCGATTTTTGCAATTTTCAGGAATTTTTGCGATTTTTGAAATTTTCAGTAATTTTTGCAATTTTTGCAATTTTCAGGAATTTTTGCGATTTTTGAAATTTTCAAGAATTTTTGCGATTTTTGCAATTTTCAGGCACTTTTGCGATTTTTGCAATTTTCAGGCATTTTTGCGATTTTTGCAATTTCTGCAATTTTTGCAATTTTCATGCATTTTTGCAATTTTCATGCATTATTGCAATTTTCAGGAATTTTTGCGATTTTTGCAATTTTCAGTCATTTTTACGATTTTTGCAATTTTCAGGAATTTTTGCGATCTTTGCAATTTTCAGTCATTTTTACGATTTTTGCAATTTTCAGGAATTTATGCGATTTCTGCAATTTTCAGGAATTTATGCGATTTTTGCAATTTTCAGTCAATTTTGCGATTTTTGAAATTTTCAGTCATTTTTGCGAATTTTGCAATTTTCGGGAATTTTTGTGATTTTTGCAATTTTCAGGAATTTTTGCGATTTTTGCAATTTTCTGGAATTTTTGCGATTTCTGCAATTTTCAGGAATTTTCGCGATATTTACAATTTTCAGGAATTTTTGCGATTTTTGAAATTTTCAGTCATTTTTGCGATTTTTGCAATTCTCAGTCATTTTCACGATTTTTGAAATTTTCAGTCATTTTTGCGATTTTTGCAATTTTCAGGCACTTTTGCGATTTTTGCAATTTTCAGGCATTTTTG